AATTTGACGGGCTGGCTCAGGGGAGGCCGGGTTTTGTTACTTACAAATATTGTTCGCATTGAGCGACTCCCTGGGGCCACTCCTCCCCTCGGAACTGCAGCCGCTCACGCCGCCCCGCTGAGGCGAGGGGAGTACCCGCGTGCGCCCCTCGAGTGCACTGGCCAATCAGCGCGCGGCGGGGGACGGAGGGGGGCGTGGCCGAGGGGAAGCGGCAAATCAGGCGAGGCCGGAGGCGTGACTGAGGCGGTGAGGGGACGCGCGCTTGTGGGTCAGTGTGGGTCGAGCCGCTGCGAGGGGAGGGTCGTGTCGCGCCGTGCGTCGCCGTCTCTACCACGTGGCGCCACTGACACCTGTCGCCCACTCCCCCGCTGCCAGGTCATCAGCCACACATACCCACAGACATCCGCACACAACACTTTCCACATTTCGGGCCAGCGACACTTTGCCAACCCATGTAGCTCCGCCCGTCTCCGCTGTCTCGAATCGGAGCGAGTTAGAGCGAGCGAGACACTAAAGCGGGGTCGCCGTGCATGTGGCGAGCCGGAGCTACACGCGGCTGCCACGCGGTCCCGCCTCCCCTCGCCTCCGCCGCCGCGAAACAGTTCACATTCCCATCCCGAATGCAAAAGCCGCAATAAATATTCTGCCGCAGGACACTAAATCGTAATCATGCAATAATTTCAATCACTCAGGTGAGAATTAATAATCGATAATCAAACGCCTTAAAAAGCCTGTAATTAGCACCACCAACAGCGAACGAGGGGAAAAAAGACATAATTAATGAAAAGGATAACTAATCAGTTTATAAGATTATGAACACAAACTCGGCGATCAAATAAACTTTCCTCCGACACATTAACCTTAGCTCAGATAATTAGCAGAAGGTTCGAGGCTTAATGCATCTGACGAAACACTAATTGACGCGCGTAATGTGATGGATTAGCGTCAGGGCATCTAAAACCACTCCGTTCGATTCCTAATTTCCTTCATTCGGTTTTCCTCGTCGCGGAATTGCTAAGGGAGATTTGGTTTTATTTCCCCGCCTCGACTTGTCTCCGCGTTCGTGTAAGAATCGCTTTGGTGGAGGAAATTTCGCTGACTTTATTCGCACTCTCGGTCAATCGCGTCGGATGAGGATGAGAAATGATGTCCGGTTTTAACGAGAATTTCGGCTACGCTGATTAACTCCCTTTTTTCAAATCGGCGAAGAATAACGGTCTCGGATCGAATAAAAATCTCCCGAATAAAATTCCAGCCAGTTTTTCGTATTTCTCCCTAAGCGCGCGAATAAGCACCTACCTCCGACCTAATCTTTCACGCCAACAATCATCTCGCTTTTTCCTCTTGACTCCAAATGCAAAACATCACGAAAGAATCAGTATCCGCCAGCATCCACACGCCGCCGCACTCCGTCGCCGCCACAGACGCTGCATCACCGAGCCCGCGACCTCAGCACTAAAAGAGCATCACCGAGCCATTCCTAACCTCTCGCTCTACGACTTACCGACTTATTTTCGTTTTTCCATCCCGATCCCGCCACAGGGAGGCGAACGGGGGGAAACTCCGCCGCGGCTGGCCAGTTCGAAACTCCGCAGGGTTTTTTCCCCTCCTCTACATCGATCGGCTGGCCAGGGCGATCCATATTTTCCCCGTGAATCATGACGACGGGAGATACATCGTTATATTTCGATTGTGTTGGAGTTGTCTCGCTCGACTCCCGGGTTCGGAGCTTCAGTGTTCACTCATAACGGATTATCGCCTTGTCTCGCCTGTTCCGATATCGTTCAAAGTTCCTGTTCGATTTCGCTGAAGACTTCATTGTCTAAATGAAAGATCTGGTTGTATTTTTCATATATTACGATTTATTGAACTACAGGGATCGGTTAACTGACAGTATGAGACGGTCAAGATGCGCGGAAGTTCGAAACCTAATTTCGGAATCGCAAAAAAGTTCTTCGAGATTCAACGTCTGTGTGATTTCCCGTTCACTATTTAATAGGGAAAATATATCACATGCATATTTTTTAAAGACATATACATACTTCACATATACGCTATCTAAGAATAACGCCGTAAAGTTTAAACCGCATCAGCTGTAAGTATCTTTTTAACCTTACAATCCCTTTTAGTTTCCCCGTCGAGTGATAGAATGTACAATTGGCTTTTCACTGTACATCTGTCACAAAAGCCCTGTAGTTTTATGAAAATATTCTGGAATTGTCATTGTTTTACCAGTTGCTTATTTAATGTCTTTTTGATATTGCCATTTATATGAAAGGTGTTTTTTCTTTACAGTATGGATCACACACACACACACAGACACACGCAAACACACACACACACACACACATACGCAAACACACGCACACACACAGTACACACACACACACGCAAACACACACACACAAACCCGCACGTAAACTTAATCAAACGCACGCAAACTCACACATTCACACCTCTCCTTCTGCGTGTCAGCTCGCAAATGGACCCCTAACCTCGACTGGCAAACCTCCCATGCCTAACCCATTGTTTATCACGATTTGTCTCCACGCCGTTTGTTTTCCAGATCCGTAGCTAGAGAGGAGAGTAGGCTGAGCTGACAGTAGGCCTATAGACCGTCGCGGCGGGTGGCACCGACTGATGACACTCGATAGGGCGGCTTATGACGGCGGCAGAAGGTAGCGGCGGTCGCGGACAATGGCAGCGGACGGTAGCGGTGGTACTGGTAGCGGGTTTTGGTATTTGGTAAAGGTATTGGCGGGATTGTGGTTGCTGCTTGCGGTGAGGATAGTGGTAGCAGATGCGGTAGATAAAGATGCTAATGGTACTTCAACGGTAGAAATAGGCCTATTCATCGTGAAATTTATCATCGTGCATAAAGTGCTTTACCAACGTCGTGAAGAAAGAAGACGCGTAGAGATAAACGTGATTTTCTCGGTTCCGGCGATGGTAGCGGTGGCGGCAGCGGGACTCACGGCGGTAGCGGGGAGTCAACGAAAGAGTGGGGGTTGTGGCGGCAGGAAACACGCGTAAACATTGTCTCTGGAATATTCAATAAAAAAAACGGGTTCTGTTCAAGGTCGGGGAAAAAAAGACAACACTTTCGAACTTTATATCAAATGATCAGGTTTCAATACGGAAAGATAAGTTAGGCGCTGAAGGAGTTTCCGTAACGCTTACGGAGACGAAATACAACGCTGTCTAAAATCTATGCATGAAATATATTTCTGTAAATATTTCTATACAGAAAACACGTACACATATATATGCTTGTGTGTATACACGAACAGACAGAACATTTCTATTCTATAATAGATACACTCACGCACACGCGCACAATAACACATAGACACACACACACACATACACAAGTAACACATACACACATACACACACACCACACACATAACACACACACAAACACACACACACACACACACAACAACACATGTATTGGATACATCATACACACACGACACACACACACACACAACACACACACACACACACACACACAGCACACACATACACACACACAAACACACACACACAAACACACACACAACACACACAACACACACACACACACACATATATATATACTATATAATCAATATATTATATATGTATATAGTATATATATATATATATATAGTATATATATAATATATATATATATATATATAATATATATATAATATATATAGTATATATATATATACAATATATATAGTATATTAAATATATATATATATATATAATATATATATATATTATATATATATAATTGGGGGTGGTGGCTGTTTAGGTTGCAGAGCATATATATAAAAATAGTATAGAAGTTAATTATTATATTATGAAATATATATGAGTATAATTATTTTATATATATATATTAGTAATAATTACTGATGGGTGCGTATGTATGTATAGGGGAAGGTTATATATATTAGTAGGCATAGCAGTATATATGTATAGTGATATAGGTATTATTCGTATATAAGTGAGTAATATATACATAGCTATAGTGTAGTTGTGGTGTTTGAGTGTATTATTGATGATATCATATAGTATTATATATATAGTATAGGTTGGCTATGAGTTGTTTGTGGTGGTGGTGTGTGGGTGTTTTTGGGGTGTCTGTTGGTGGCCTGGTGGGTTGTTGGATTTGGGATTGGTGTTGGTGATTGCGTGGTTGGCTGTGCCGGTGTGGGTGGGCGTGCCGTGGGCGCGGGGCTGTAGGCGGTTGGTGTTGACGCGAGTGGTCGGTATAAGGATTGAGGCCGGAGAGGAGCGATGGGTTAGAGCCGCGCGTAAGATTGTGGTGGGTAGGGCTTCTGATCACCGTAGGTTCTTGTCGCTGGTGTGGTCCATGATGTGTGGCCGTATTGGTTGATGTATATACATATAGTTGATGTTATATAATATATATTACATACAGTAATATCTATATTTAAGTAATAAGTAAGTAATAGTTGATAGTAATCGTGAGTTATAGATAAATATATATATATATATACACTATATATGCTTGTGTATTAATACGAAACAGACAGAAACATTTCTATTCTATAAATAGATACACTCACTGACACACAGCGAATAAACACACACACACACATACACACACAACACATACACAGCATACACACAACAGGGGTTGAGATTGTGGGGAGCAGCACACAACACACATAAACACACACACACACACACACACACACACACAACACACATAACACTAAACACAGAACCGAGAAGCGAGCGAGACACACACACACACCAGCACACACACACATAGTATTAGCACGAGCAACACTACACACACGACACACACACACACACACACAGACACACACATGGCGCGCGCACACACGACTACACACACAACATAGCACACACACAAACACAAACACAAGACACAAAACACATACACAATAGCGACTCTGTGACACCATGTGTGGTATTGGAGTTTGTTCACATACACACACAACACACACACA